TCTTATTTATTATTAAAATATTTTTTAATTTCTTTTAACAATAGTTGTCAATTTTTATTTCGACTAACATCATAAAAAAGCGGCTAGTAGAATTTATATTTGGATTTATATGGGTAGATATACTGCAGGTATTGCATTTGCTACCTGTTTAAATATTTAGAGGAAGTTTTTCCTTTTTAACTGATTTCCCCTTCGTATAGCTGAAATATCAGTTGCCAATCGCGCCAGTCAGCGTCAAATGCAAATTTAATGGTCTATGTAAAAGGTAGCCTGGCCAAATGCTTTTAACCACATCCGCTGCCATTAGATGTTACAAAAAAGCAACAACAATGGAAAATGACGCCAGTGGAAATGTGAAAATCAATGCGCATTAGTGGCTGGCGTTATTTCATCTTATTCTCTGCCCGAGACGGCAAGCCGCATCGCTAATAGCATATCAAGTAGAGGTTGCTGGGCCCCATTTCCGCTTCCTCTTTCCACTGGCTTGTGACGCATTTTGCATTTGGCCAAAGGTAGTAAAGCCCTCCCAATTCATCCAGAGAGCAGAGCACCCGCTTAGCTCAACCGCAAGGCTCATCAATTTCAATAATATAACTGAAATACACGGAAACCTTAATCAATTGCTCAACTAACTACAGTAGTTATTGCCCAAGTACGACTCAAGTAGGTGAGCAGAGAACATGCTAGAGGCTTTTTCACTAAATCCACCGCCAAGCGTGAAAAATGCATGGAAAACAATTTTCTTTATCATCAAAATAACTTGTGTATATGAATCATACAATTATTTCGTGTGTCTATTTTGTTGGGCAATCAAAATTCCACAATTTCAGGGTGAAGAAATGAAAATGAAAATAAAAAAAATAAATAAAATTGAGTTTTTTATAAACAGTGCTTACTGTAATTATGTGGCTGTCATGCAATCCTAAATGACAACATTCTCAAACAAATGCTGACGGGGCGTACAACTTCTCGTCCAGCTTGGGAATGAAGTTGCTTTACTGCTGTTGCTTCTTCTTCATTTGCTGTTTCTGCTTCTTGTGGCATCGCCTGCCGTGTCCTGTCATTCGTGCATGCAATCCTCACACACACACGCACACACACATTAGAGAGGCAATGCATTCAAGCGCAAATTAAGCTTGACAAGCAAAAATTAAACTGTGCATTTGTATAGCATGTGAGATTGTACATGTTTCTGTATCTGTATCTATGCGTGACACACACTGTCTCCTTTTTTCCCCTCTCTCTCTCTCTCTCATACTCTTTTTGTATCTGTATCTGCTGCTTGCTTGGGCAAAATATAATTTCCTCATGTACTGTTCATTAAACAGAGCTAACCAAGTTGAATGCAGCACTTGGCATGAGTTTCTCAGTATCCCTTAAAATCAAATAAATATGCAAAATGTAAAAAAAAAAATAGAGAAAAACAAAGAGATAAAAATATAGGAATCTTTTTTGAGGTTTTGAAACTGGCAGTTGAAAACTCATTTTCAGGTAGGAATTTTTCTATAGTTAGTAATAAAAATACAAGAAATTTTCAGTAGTCCGGCTATGGACTCATTTTATTGTATTTATATTATCGATATCTTTTCAAATAATGTAATTGTTGTAAGATTATTGTAACTCAACTATAAAATAGTCCACTATGAATGAGTAGCATAATAGGCCAAAGGTCGGCACACGGACTACCAAGTTAAGATATCGTTTCCCCGAGAAGACAAAATTCTTTGAATTCCTGCCGAATACTAAAACTCTTCTATAAAATATATCCACTTCGCTCAGCTGCCGCCTCATATTTAATAACTTAAGTGTAATACCCACAGTTTGCTGGCAATATATATTTCAATCATAAGGCCCAAGCCAGCATTACAATTAACAGCCATAGATCGCAACAATGCTTGGCCTGTTATGCGGCATTAAAGGACTTAACAAAATGTGAAACAATTTATTATCGTCATGAGGCAACATTTAATGAGTTATAGTTTAGTTGTGATGCGGTTTTATTGAAAAGCCGGTTTATTGAATTAGAATGCAGATATAAATATAAGTATACATCGATTCATGATGTTTTTCATGCGATACGCTTAAAACAATAGAGACATAAATTTCAGCTTAACAGCGAGAAAAGCAATTCATACTCGCGTCATAAATAAAAACCACTGCAACATAATTTTTATGTTGCTTCCTGTAGCAAAAAAAAAAAATGACATAGACTAGAAGAAGAAGTGGCAAAAAATGACAAAGGATAAGCTCAATGCGTCAAAGGACGCTTTTGTTTGTATTGTGGCACAGCATTGGAAGGGCCATAGGCGTCAAAGCACTTAACCGCTAGACACAAAGACAAAGCCCCACTCTTAACAGAGTTTGAACCTCGAACCCTCTAGTTCAAATCCAATGCCCGACAATGACAGCCATAAAATGTCTGCCCTTTATATTTGTTATTGTTGTTGTTGTTGTTTTACTGGCTTCACTCTAGGCCTGGCCAAATCAAGCACTTCTGCAAGCCCATAGATTTATTTGGTGTGCCTTTTTTTTCATCTTATTTTTTTCTTTCTTTTCTCAATTTGACATTGAAGCGCATTAAGTTTGACATTCGCGTGAGTTTTCTACGCTCTGCGCCACAATGATTATGACTCTTGAGAGTTTTTGCCACTCTCTCTCTCTTTTATTTTTTTGGCATGACTTTTGCACTTTGCTCAAAGTTGGGGAAATTAATATTAGCGACTGGCGCAGATACTTTTCGTAAATTGCAATCTCATCGCATTCTTATCTCAGTGCAGCTGTTGAAGTTACGAACTAAGTGCCCTGCATGACAGGGAATCTATATAAATAACTCACGATTGAATCGACCGCTCAATACTTTTGACTTTTGCCGTCCAATGTGTGATAATCCCAAAGTATTTCAAGTTGAGTCGCTCAGATACACGCATTTATGAGATACATTTATGTGAAAAGATTAAACTCTTCTTAAAGTGGTTTCACAGCAGGCGTTGATTCATTCTTTTTTGTTTTGACGTTTAAGGGTAATATAATCAAATTAACTAGTTCCACTATGATGCTAACATCCACTTCTTTGGGAAAATGCTTTGGAAATGGACTGGAATTTTAAAAGCTATTCAAACCATATGAACTAGTTCCAATATGACAACATCCTAAGCCTAGTTGTAGAAAGCTTTTTGATTAAGATTAACATTCGTATCAAAAGCTATTCATATGAATACCATTCGCTAGTCTCTTCAAACAGAAATGAACTAGTTACACAATGACAGTGCCTTTCATCTTCTTTACGAATAGGTATATTATTGTTGTGCAAATAATATAAATAATACTCATTTGATTAAAAAAAAATTGGTTACAAAAATTATTTATACAAAATGAACTAGTTCCGATATGATAACATCCTTAATCCAGTTGTAGCCAGCTTAAGTTATTTTCGAGATTAAGATTCCCATTCATATCAGAAGCTATTATTTTGAATAGCATTCGCTATTCTTGAGCTAAGAAGAACTTTGCAAATAGAAATGAACTAGTTCCGTTAGTTCTGGCTTAAGCCACAAAACAATTGCCCGCATTACACAAAATGTCAGCTCTGGCCCCGAAGACTTGGCTTGGTAAACACGTAAGACAAATTCTATCTATATGCAATCAGCAAATATGGTCGGATGCCATACATAATGCAGGCACTTTTTCCAGGCAAGTGGAAATTATGTCAAAACAAACGCAAAACCCAAAAGCAACTCAAGTCATTCAGTTCTGTTCTGTTCAGTTCCGACTGACAGTTAGTCATTTAGTCAGTCAGTCAGTCAGTCACGAGAGGCATTTCAATTATAGGCATGCACAAATGTTCAACTAATATGATATGCAAAGCGTGAGCGAGAGAGGTATATATAGTGTGAGTGTGAGTGAAAGAGAGAGCGGTAGGGCTAGGGTTTGAAATTGTTGAGAAATCGCGTCAAAGACACGAGAGCAGCTGCCATTTATCAGAGCCCAAGCATTCTGCAAATTTCTACGCTGCGCGCTTCATCTTCTTCTTTTTTCTTCTTTATTTATACGCCATTTACAAATTCTTATTGAGGGGGTTGCCACACCGGGTCGGCTTGGGGGCCGGCTTTACTTTGTGCAATTGCAGTGCAGTTTTATTTTTGCATATGTCTGGCAGCATTTGTAAGGATTTGCCATGTCTTTCTCTCTCTCTGTGTGTGTGTGTGTGTGTTTGCGTTGCAAGTTGACTTCATTCAAAAAAGTTAATTCATATATCGCACAAAGCGCATAGATACGAAAGACGCACATGATAGCAGCAGTACCCAAACCCCCGCACCGATAAAAATACAAAAAATGCCATATGCAAAATGCATTTAGTCTCTAAGATAAAAGCTCGCCTGCAGCGCGCAGCGCGTGTAAAAAACCTGTGGCAAAGGGTGGCTTCCAGCAGGGTGGCTTGGTTGGCAGTTGGGCCTGGTGCCTGGTGCCTGGCGGATTGGGCGACCTATTCAAATAAAAGATTTCTATCAGGTGGCTCTTATGGCGCATGAAAGTACTTAAATTTGTTTGACTTGCATTTGCCCTGGTGTTTCGGCCTCTCTTGTTCAGCATTGCGTTTCATAATGCGAACAAAGCCGCTCACGACTTACAACTCATGACTGACAACTTGTTTAACTTGCATTCATCGGCGACAAGCGACATTTTGTTGGCAAAAGCGTTTAGCAGATTGGCTCTAAAAGATAAAAAATACAATGCATCCTTAAATGTGTTAGGTATATCTTGAACGTGTCATAAGCCAAAACAAGAAACAAAACAAGAAACAAAATGTCCTTTGATTATCACAAGAAACTTCTCTAAGCGGCCTCGACGTCGAACTGGCAACTTCCTGCTTGTTAGTTCGATTCTCTGGCATCTCGATTGATTTAGCTGATTATTATACTCTTTTATTATGTAGGCTTTCGGTTGGTTCAAAACCCAGCTTCGCAGCCTTGATTAAAAATTGGTATTAAACCAATTGCATACTCAAAAGTTTTATTCTGTGTATTAAAAAATGCTATATAACGCAGTTACAATTTAGAAACATAATACAGCATTACTTAATTAGACTTGATAAATACTAACAGAATGATGTGGCAGATGTAAATAGCCAAGCGCAAGGCTGTGTCATTGCTACCACTTTCCAAACCCTTGGACGACCATGTACTAAGCGATGCCGAATAGGGTGAGATGATCAATACGACTAAAATAAAAAAGCAAAGATGGGCCCAATCAAGCTTCTTGGTTTTAGTTTTAGAACTCTCAAGAGTCGAGCACGTTGGCGTTTCTTTCAAGAGCATCATAGTTGATTCCACGTTAATCAGCTCAAAGTCAATTCGACTGCCAATTGTAATGCCTGGATGAAATCGCGCCAATTTGGGTGCAGCCAAGTGTTGCTGCTCCACCGTGATCCAATACACCATATTCATGGACTCTATGGAAAGGGTATTAATTGTGGATCTAGACTTTTCGTTCTTAGATTTCTACCTGATATATTGTGTTTCTTTCGCCAGTTCTGCCTTAGGCCTTGCATGAACTTCTTTTGCCTTTTCATATTGCGTATGGGCGTTATGCGTCGTTTCTTCTTGACTACCCGGCTCGGCCGTGGAATCTTACGCGGAGCTGAAGTTTTGATTCTTTCCAGCAGCACCCTGCTGGATATCTGATGTACATGCTCGCTGCTAAGCAGTTTTTCCAATTTATATGATTTAAACACTTTTGTGTTCGGTTTGATTCTCTTCGATCTCTCGCGGCACACGCGACCACCTGAGCTTGGCTGCACACCATCCTTTGAGATTTTTGTAGCCATATTCAGCTTTATCACCTGATATAGACATTGGGCACGAATAAGTTCAAAGACATCAGCTGGGGGTATATTCTGCTCAGCTGGGGTGACTTTTGGCTGTTTTTCTTGCACTTCGACAAAGTATGGCTTCTCGTAATTGTAGATATTAATGCCCAATTCAGCAATATGTTTGTTCTGCACCCCAATCAATTCACCATTGGTGGTAAGCCATGTGGTTTGTCCGGCATTGGGTTTCTTAAAGATCCACGAATTTGTTTTCTTAGCTGTTTCTCCCTTGCGCTTGGCTTGGCGACGAGGCTCCTCGGGGCCCAAACGTTGTTTGCAGGCTGTACGTTTCTTTGAGATTTCGATCAACCATACTATTCATATTATTATAGGTTCTCCAGTACCTACCATCGTATACAATGTGTATATCCTATGCGAGTAATGCTTCCTGTATATTTTTGAGAAAAAGCAAACTCTCAAAATTATAAAATAAACTATTTCTGTTCAGACTGAACTATGACTAAATTCTGAATATAAAAAGCATAGGTATTTATATATTTTCAAAAAGTTCCTATGTGTTTTACTCTAAAGAAACGAAGGCAATCAACTTTTTTATACCAATGGATATTGTAATTAATAAGAATTATAAATGAAAATAATAACAAAATTTAATAAATATATAAAATATAAAAAATATAATAATAAATATAAATAACTGGCGCATTATTTATGATAAAAATAATTTAAATTGACTTCTTTGTTAAATTTAAAACCTTAAAATAAAAATTTGGCCAAGTGAAGAACGAGTTTCAGACTTTCAATTTTATGCTTGATTATGCCTGCCTTAATATTTTTTTCTAAAATATTCTAAAATACTTTAAATTCGTCACTTTTTATATACATTTTTAATATGCTTTAAATTTCGTATATCCTCTCCTCTACACGTTAAATATGGCAAATATTCAGAGTTGAGTCCTTGTGGCATTGTCGCCATAGAAAATCGAATCATTGTTAGCATCTGTTTGGGTAATACTCATGAATCATTCATGAAACGTTTGCACAAAATGCAAATCGGGTTAAATCCTTACAACAAACAAAAGCCGCACGCACACAAAAACGCCGACAAAACAATGTAAAATGTTAAATAATTATTTAAAACAGCTGCGGGAGCTAACGAATGCAACAAAACACAATATACATTTATTTACTGTTTACTTTTTGGCCGTAAATTTATGGCCTAATGCAGCTGCCCTCGCACCTATCGACTTATATTTCTCTTGCTTCCATTTTATAAAAATTAGGGTTTAGCATTTTTTTTACATCCAAAATCATATACGCCACGTAGTAAATTTTAAAATTTGTTTTAGTTAAATAAATAGTACAAATTATTTAAATTTATATGAATACCTAAAAAAAGTTCCATGAAATAAAATATTAAAAAAACATCCGTTAAAATCATTTAATAATACATTTCAATAAAAATCGTGTCAGACAATAGCGACCACAATAATCTTCGGCGTAAATATGTTAACTGACAAATCGTGGCATAAAATTAAGTAAAACCTTTGGCTCACACGCCAAACAAACATAAAGCTCTTGGCTAGGTGTAGGAGGCGTGGCTTTAAATTTAGAAGTAATACGGAAACTGCTGCCTCCACCCGACTGGCAATTATACACATATTTATGAATGTACCGGGGGGCATTCGCAGTGTTTACTTCAAAGCAATTAAAAGCAAACCAGCAGCAAAGGCAGCAGGAGCAACAGCATCAGGCCCAGCGATGCGAGCGCTTTATCATATTTTGTGTTGCCCGAGTATTTGCTAAGGTTTTTACTGGGGGGCAAGAAGTGGGTGGCTGGGTGCTGGTTTTCTTTTTTTGCAGACATATGAAAAGCCTTCCAGTAAAATGGCCACTCAGGAAACGAAGTTCGTTTATATTGTGTCAGGATATAGTATAGTAGCTTTGTGTTTGTGAAAGCGAATGGAACTGGAGCGCGGTATACTGGGCAGCGGGTACTACAAAACTGGGTGCTGGACACTGGAAAATAAATATAGAACGCAGCTACGTCTGCAGTGCACAAATAAGCTTGGGGCCATAAAAGAAATACGTTTACTATGTACTAAAATTGAGTAAATGCTGCCATTACAGGCTGCAGTCAAGCCAACGAACCCCTCCACCCTAAGCCAAGCCCTAGTTCGCCCTAAAGTGGAGCCTGCTGCTTGTCTTCTATGTGCTGTGCTATTATTTTGAGTGCACAAACGCACACGCACACACAACATGGCCAGCAGGGCAGTAAAAAGACAACAATAGAATGGCCAAGCACCGGGGCTTCAATTGTTTGGCAATAATTGTGAGTGTGTGTGTGTGTGTGTATGTGTGCAATAGAAAGTATGGGGTGTTTGAGGCTCCGTTGCATAACTGGTACATCAGGCCTCCGGCCAAAGAGTCTGCGTTCAATTAATCGTTTGCAGCGTTTGCTAAAATCAATTATCGCCTGTGACTGCTATTGATATCGATAATCGAATTAACCTCATTCGACAGACAGACACAATATCGAATGCCGTTTAAGAGCTCCATGGCTCGGCCAAAGGAATTCAATCTGAGCAACAGCAACTGCCGCCAACAAAAAGCCAGAGCTGTTCAAAAAGTTTCTGTTTCTGACACAAAACAAATGCCCAATAATATAAATTATTGAAGAACAACTTTGTTTATTGTGCATTTTTAATTAGAATTTAAACATTAATGAGATGAAGCTTGAACATTCAAAGGTACAACATTTACTAAAATATGCTTTGCAAAAAGTACACATCATCATGTATAAAAACATGTTTATTAAGTTAGCTCTCACTCGCAATTTTCTAAAAATAATTTGAACTGCTCTCGCAAAATATTCATGCCATGCTCGATGCATTTGCCGAGGCATCTAAATTGCTGTTGATTTCTTTTGCCATTTCGTCATAACAAAAGCAATTGTCGGCATGCCATGGCAACGGAGAAACAACTCAAAATGATTCCATTGGATTGGAGTTTGCAAATGCGATTAGCAGCATAAATGAAAATGCCAATGAAAATGAGCTTGAAAAACCGCACTTTAAATTGTTGTGATCCCGAAGCAGAAGCTAATGGAATGGAAGTGCCCCGAAATTCAACAGGAAGCAAACTGAGTTGCCACTTTGGCAACGATTCGTATGCAAATTTACAAGCACACACACACACTCAAACACACCCACACACACACACGTCGGAGAGCTTGAGATACACAGATACAGGTAACAATCAAAGCATTTCACAGTCAAGTACTCCTTGTATTTTTTTTTTCTTTCTTCAAGTGACTTACCACAGCCTTTTGCACTTTTGTATTGTTTGGTTAGCACTTGAGCTGCAGAGGCAACGTCTACCTCTTTAATTTACAAATATTGTGAGCAGTTCATTGTTGAAAAACGAAAGCAAATCAAGGCTTGAAGCACGCGGGCTCGAACCCATTTTTTCACTAATTGTTGTATTAAATGCTGATATATATATCCGAATAGTAATAAGTCATGATTTAAAAGCTTTATATAAGTCGCAAGATTGCCACAATTTTACTAAACCCAAGACCACAAATAAGTTCTAAATAAATATCTATAAAATGTTATATGCTCATGTTTTCCCTCATGATGTTTCAGTATTGCTGTTCTCTTTGTTCTTCAATACCCTCTCAGCTTCCGTATAATAGTTCTTGTTGCGATTCAGCTCCAGCGAAAAGTCTGATTTCTTAACCATTATCATATTGGTGAGAAATGCACGCCGCTCCGCATTTCTTGTCTCACTGCTGGAGAATATATCTGTATCATTATCTCTGTCTTTCGTCTCATCTGCTTGGCTAGAGGTTGGCACTGTGGGCATAGAACTGGATGCCTCGTGGCCCGTATCATTTATGATGTAGTGTTTGGTATTCTTAAGGAATTCCTCAGCTTCACGTAAGCGTTTGGTGAATTTTTTGTCGCGTGGCTTTTTTGTCGTATGCTTATCCGATTGATCCAGCTTCGAGTAGATATTATGCAGATCTAGAAATATTTCAGCAATATCCTCGCTCAACACCTTGGAATGATGTATGTAGGAATTTAAAGATTGCTTTATTGTCTGTACCTCCTCATGCAGCTGATCGAAGGCATGCAAATCGTATAGCACTTTCGGCACCACCAGGCTCATTATAGTATCAAAATCCTCGAACCGGCACACGTCCTGCATCTGTTTCAGCGTCTTCTCCACAATTCGCGTCACCTCCGCCTGCTCGGGGCTGTTAGTGAGTGATAGATTCGAACTGCTGCTTATTTTCAGCAGCGATTCCAATCGCTTGGGCGTGCTATTGTGATCAATGTTCACTTTTTGCTCTTCAGAATCATTCGGTATTTGTGTCCAGGAATTCTGTGGTGTTTTTGAAAACATTTTGCACAATTTTTTTTATATTTTGGTAACTGTTACATAGAATTTTGAACATATATTTGCAAGTTTTATCTAAGCTAGTTTTATTAATCTTTAAGATGCTGACTGCTCAGAAAAAGGTAACTGTTAAGGAGAATAAACAGGATTGAAAAAACGTTTTTATTTTTCCGTTAAATATAGGAGGTAAACCGGCGTTGTCCGGTTATCGAAATTGTTGGCGCCAACTTTGAGCAGATACAAATTAGTTCGAATTGACGCAGAGTCAACACTTTATCTCCAATGCGGCTTGGGGCGAATATCTCTTACCTTTATTGATTCTTAAAATGCGAGCAACAGTTGCCACGCTTTGAAGTTGCCCGGATAACTTAAGTGTACTTGTTATTATTAACTTCATAAAAATTGCCGCCGCTGCGAACTTTATTAAGGACTAACTTTTTTACGCTTATCCATAGCTGGAAATTCCAGAAAAATAAAAGCTACACATATGTAATACCTTTTGGCCAGTTTTTTTTAATGTTTTTCATTTGCAATGCCTGTGTATTCGTGTATTTTCTATGACCACGAGCGCTAAATCAATTGCCAAAACAGAGAGCTGCGCACTATTTCCTGCCTGCCATGGCGCTCAAACATATTTCGTAGCATTTTTATGACCCATGCAAAAAAAAAAAAAATGAAAAAAACAGAAAAAATGCCTACGCACAGTTCTGCAGCAGAGGTTTTTCGTGTGTGGCTGGAGGAGGGAGGGGGGGGGGGGTGTGTTTGGGAAGGGGTACGGCCGGTAGCTGGCCATTGGTCATGCTGCTGTTCATGGCATTCCGCGCGACGCTGTGCGCTGTCAACAATCACGAACCAATTGTCTATAAATACCAGGAACGTTAAGGCAAACTCACTCACAGCACGAGCAGCAGTAGCCAACTTCCCCAACCCTAACCCCCTCAATCCCCTTACGCCATCCAGAAACCAATCCCCAATCCAGTTCAGTACCAATCCCCCGCAGACTACGCACAAAACTGTCCATGGTCATGCCGTGCTCTGGCTACTGGCTGTGGTATTGGGTGCCCCATTGCAACTTCCGTTCTGTCGTTTTTCATTACATCGCATGTAACTTCCGGTTTGTTAAAGCGACACGCACTGCGACTCCCACGACTGCCCCATAGTCCTGTCCCCCCCTCAGCCCTGTTCGTTGTTATGGCTGCTGACATCCGTGCAAACAAACGAGCCATCGAACGTATACGTACCCGACAGCCACTAGCCAGACTCGAGTTGTCCCTATGCTGCTTTCATCCCCGTCACCAACTCCCCTTTCCGGGCGGCTCTGTTTGTCCGCACGTTTAGACTGGAAATGACAAATTCACTGTAGGTGGGCTCTCGCTCTTGGGTCTCTTGGCCGCTTCGCTTAACTCCTCCAACACGTTTGCGACTCAGCAAACACCATCATCAATTTCCGTGGGGAAATCACACAAAATTTTTAGCACAAACAAAATGTTTGCTTTTGCTACCAGTCAACCGATTTTTGCATGCCACACTCTGTGGCATATCTCGGCTTATCTGACCAAATCGGTTGGGGAGGGGCGAGTTGTTTTTTTTTTTCTATTTTTATTTTGCCCCTCTGCCAAAAGCTAAAAGAATTAGTAAATACTCGCATCGCGTACCGCCAATCGTTATTTGCTTTTTCTGCTCGAGGGTTTTCCGCTGGCATTAAAGCAACCGCAAGTTGGTGACTTTATTTAGCAAAAGGTTTAGAGGTTACTGCTTGACACGAAGAAATTCATAATATATTTTAACAAATAGAAAAAATGTACAATTAAAACTACAAGAATACAAAAGCTAAAATTTCTGAAATTATTTATAAACCGGCCCTATAAAGACATCGCTTATTATAAAAGCCAAATAACTTACTCTTAATGAAATAAGAAATAAATAAAAATAATAAAAAAATAAGTGTACACAGACTGTACTTTTTCGCTGCTTGGCGCTTGCTTCGAAAGGGGGACAAGGAGTTTGCAATCCTTAGGTCCACAGCAATGTCTATCTTGTGAGAGTCGTCTTAACCATCTATATTTAAATTTGCTGTTGTATTGTCATTAAGAAAGAGCCAGAAAGGAAGGAAACGAAAGATTTTCAAGATTATATAAAAAGCCATCAGAAATGTCCCTAGAATCATGCGATCCCTGCGAGGCCCAAAACGCGACTCAGATACCAAAATTTATTTGACCAGTCAAAAGGCAGTCTTAAATCCACCGGTAAACTAAACTCTCCACAGCCTAGACGCTTGGAAAATCTTCAGATTATTTACAAAGTAAAGGAGAGAAAGAGAAAATGTTGAAAGTTCTTTGTGGCATGACAACCTGGAATTAGCGCATTTCAGTATTATTTCGACACGCATTTAAGTAAAACCCGCGCGTAAACGAAACTGAAGCCAGTAGACTTGTCTTAGCTCTAGCTAATCTCACAGATTTCTTTTTAGAGCTGAGAAAAGTAACACTCTCTCTCTAACTTTTTCTCGGGCGGCATTCACTCTGTTCTCTACACTTTGGGCAACAAATTAACGCGAGCACTGTGAATGCTGGAGGAGTTAGCTAGAGCAGCTGAAGGAGCTGCTCGGGCAGCATCTTTGTTGGAGCGGTGAATGTAATTACTTTAATGTGACCATTTGCCGGCGTACTGCTGAGCTGGCCGTGGCCCAGATAAAGATAAACTTTTGCAATTACAACGCGTCGCAAACGAAGCAGAAATACAAAGCGCAGCGCCAACTGATGGAACTGACCAGACACGGGCGATGGGACAGCAAAGTGGAGAATATATACACACACCAACGGCTATGGTTGGCGCAGCTCGATAGCATCGAATCAGTTTATTTTTAGTGCATTTTCCTTTTGGTGCCGGCTAATTAGTGCGCACAGTTAAGACCGTTAAACTTAAAGTCGCGTCTCATAAAATTATGCTTACTTAAATTAAATCGCACAGGCTTTAATAAAAAACTTTCCCAACTTACCGGCGTGTCGAAAATTCGTCCAGCATGACAATAAAAGCTGTAAGTGCTCTAGTCGAGAGAGCCCAACTCGCAGATACTCTGCACAACACCGATTTTAAAGCACATTTGGAAACTGTTAACATGAGGAACATGCGTTTGATATGCAAGAAATAATAGTCCAAGCTTGAAGTCGTGAAGAAAAATAATATCTACTTTTAATATTTTAATTTTGAGAGTATTGTAAAAGAAGATTCCAAAGATCTGTGCACATGAGTTTGAAGCCGATGGGAAGGATTATAAAGAAAATCATGATTTCCTTTCTTCCTAGATCATACAGGCTTAACTATGCATTGATCACCAGTTAGTTGGACAGTCAGTCAATCAGTTATCAATCACCATCAATCAGGCAGTCAGTCACCCAAGACAAACAGTTTTATATATGCAGATTACACGACATCGATTACACCCTTATTAATCTATTTTCAATGGATGCAGGGTATCGAAAAAAAAAGCAAAAAGCATATGCCAGACAAGGCTGCGTAACGGCCGGAAGGAATCATGTCCCGACTTAGGTGGTCCTGACTACACATAAACTTTTGATGACTTTTTGAAAGTTTTACGTTCTGCAGTGGGGAACACAAATTACGCGAAAGCGCGGCGCATACCGAGGGTAAAATAGACGGCCTCTGTAGTGGCAATAACAAAAACAATAACAACAACAATGACGGCAACGGTGGCATTAAAACGTCAACAGATTGCCGAAAATTGTGCGTCAAAGGACATTTTCCATGCACATAACTTAAAGCTTCAATTATATTTAAATGATTTTCCAACGGGACCCAAGTGACGGCGAAAGATTTAACGAGTGGACGCGTAGACATTGAGTAGTACAAAAAGAGATAAATGTAAAAAAGTCCAAGTTGGACAAGCCGACTCTGACGACACCCCGAAGTTGAGCAAACATGTCTTTCATAAGTCTTACCGCCCAAAAATTGGCAACATATAATTGTTTAGTGTAACTACCGGTTTTTAGCTGCCTGAAAGAAAAATCTTTACGATCTTTATAGTCAGTTAATCGGCAGAAGTCTGACCAACTATTATTTCTTTGCCAGATCTTAGGCACATCGATTGCCTGTCTGGCCTTAGCTTTAGGAAATTGTGTCATATATGTACGTACATACTGTATCTACAAATGAATAAACACTTTAGTAACACAAACAAAATCGAAAAATTGCTATTGGAACCAACTGGCATTTACCTGTCAAAATAACAAATAAACAATACCAAATCATGGTTAGTAATTTTAGTTGCACAGTTGCATATATTGCATATATTTTGTACAAACAATGCCCATAGAAACCTGTTGCCTATTGCAAGCCTAATGAAGCGAATGCCAAAAGAGCCCAAGCTACATTACGTCCCACATGCCGCGTAGACAATTATGGACTGGCCAGAAAGAACACGCTCTTAGCCATAACCGAGCGCATCAACAGGCAATGCTATGATCTGTACAAGGTGGATAGAACCGAATGGCTTGTTAACGAGAACGAAGCGATTGGGGTGCAAGAGAAGCATAAACAAGAACTGGGCATAATAACGCAAGAGTTCTTCAAGCCCAGCTTTAAGGGAGCACCAGAGCCCCTACTCGATGGTCCAGTTGTGCGGAGGGCAGTAAACATTTCCAACAGCCACGTCTGCTGCGATGTCAAACTATGCAACGAGAAACCAAAATATTCGGGAGCATATAAAATGAATAGTTTAAAAAATCTGCTCAACAATGAAAATGTTCAGCTAATTGACAGCAAAGAGCTGCAAAATCGCTTTAAATCTGCCGGTTCAAGAATATCGACACGAAAATACAAAGTAGACAAGGCCAAAGAGAGAACTAAGACACCAAATGAAACAAGAAAAAAGACTCCACAAGAGGTTCTGCGTGCGTGCAATAGACCAAAGTCCCAAGGGAAGGTGAGGCCGCCAAAGATGCCGTGGCGAGAGAGCAAAATTGTTAAGCCTGAGATGGAGCAGTCGTCTAAGCCCAAGGCGATAAAATATAAACAGACTGATACTCTATTGCCGATAAATGAGGATGTACGAAAGTTTTATGAGCGATATAAATGGGTCGAACCTAAGCGAAGGTTGCCAGTCGAATCAAAGAAAAATCAACAGAATAGAAACTGTGAAAATTGTCTGCAAAAAAAGGTACCCACGTCAGAGTTAAATAACAAAAAAGAAATGCCACAATGGAAATTGGGTCAGGAGCTAAAGGCAAGAGTGAAATTAAACGATTCAAATAGAAAAAAGTCGGAGATTTCGCGAAAAAAATGGAAAAATGCCTTAAATATAAAACTCGATAAGATGAACAAGAAGTTACCAGTGGGCAATACAAAAAGGAAAAGCTCCAGCGATTCGAATTCTAATTCGTCACGATCTCAGAGCTCTAGCGATCCGGATAAGACGCCAAGGCCCAATTATTCTAGCGATCCGGATAAGACGCCAAGACCTCAAACGGTAATACTTAAAAGTCCTAGAAAACCGGATAACAAGCGAAAACCTCTCACGAGTTCTGAGAACAGAGATCTTAAAGAAACTATATTTCAGAATGACAAGGTGGAGAGTCAAGAACAACATAATTCAAAGCAAATACAGAAAGCGATAGCACAACTAGAAAATTTAGGTCTATTTCTTGATAAAATTGAAAAGGACGTCAATCCAGAAGACGTATTTAATGAACAAGCAGAGGTATTGAATAGGAAAAATATTGGAATAGTAAAACAGAAAGAAAGAGTAGAGAAGGAGACCAGGACACAAGTCAGGGATGCCAGTAAGAAAGACTTGATGGTTAATAAGAAAATAGTAAAGGGGACAAAAAAACAAGAGAAGGATCCTAGAATAGAAATCAAAGAGATAAAACAGAAATTATTAATAGAAGCTAAAATTAAACAGAAAGATAAAATAGAAAAGGCAACCAAAGAAAAAGAAAAGCTTGAACGGAAAGTATTAAGGCAAAATGAACAGAAAGTGAAGACAGAAAAGGAATCCAAAGCACACGAGCTTATTTCTAGAAGAAAAATTCTAAAGAATAACACGAAAGTATTGGTGGAAAATAAATTAATTGTAATCGAGCAGAAAGAGAAAATAAAAAATCAAATCAAAGAGCAAGCCAAGGTTTACAGAAGAGCATTCGCTAAGATTGGACACCAAGCCGAACATGAAGCAGCGGATGCCAATAAGGAGAACATAAAGACGGAAGGAAAAGATTGCGTAGAAAATAAACCCAAAGAGCACTTGGAAGATTTGATAAGGAAAATCTTAAGTAGTAAACGGGAAAGAAACAGAGAAGTAGATTTCGATTTTGAAAACCTTAACTTGGAACAGTTTAAAAGGCTGATTATCAAATTAAAAAATATTCACATAATGAAAAAACAAATTTCCATGGGCGGGATAAAAACAAAGAGTCTAAAGCGACTGAAAAAGAGGTCCAGAAAAAAGTTAAGTGAATCTAGAGAAAAATCCAAAGAGTTCAATATACCCAAAGAATGTTTATCCGGCAAATTCGATAAAACTGAAAATCTCAAACCAGTTACATATAACGTTGCGAAGAAGAAGACAGCTGTCGTAGAGGGTTTAAGACCAATGAGGCCGCTCTTTTCAAATAAGGAAATGAACGCGAGGCGGGCAGCATTGGCGAGTGAGGTGCCGGAGAATCTAAGACTGTTTTGTCAGACATATATCGAGCAGACCATCGAACATAAACTAGGGACATTGGCAGAAGCCGACAGCAGTTCCAGTATAGTCGTAAGAAGTATGTAGCGTATATTGTCATGCTCATTTAAACACGTAATCGCATAATCCATTTTTAGATTTACAGATTGCCAATGAAGTGCAGTTTGCTAAAATTCAGCCGTATCCAAAGTTAGGTATACGTAGGGAGTACGATCTGAGGATAATATCAACAGAGCTTGATTGTGTATTGTCTTTAGAGGCGCCCAATTTAAGTTATGAAAGGTATTCACTTTGTGACACCATTCAGAGGTTTTTGTTTTGCCTCTATTTTGTACTTTTAATTTTTATTTTATTTATCGTATTTTTCGAAATGAATCCAATCTATTGGCGTTGGCTGCTGCGGCGATTTAAGTACTTTTATTTTGATAAAAAATTAATTTTGCAAAAAAGGTTAAATTTATAAAATTTATAATTAATAATTACATATGGTTAACTAATAAAGTAGTGACGATAAGGGTTGAATAAATGTGATATTATTTTATAACTACTCGAAATAGATAAAATGTAGTGTTGTGCGATTATCGATAGTCGATAGACTCGCCAGTTTTGATGTGTCTCTATATATACAATCGATTGTTTCAAATATTTCCATTTTGATATGTTTAATTTAAACATGTTTCTTTAATTTCAAACATTTCATTTTATAATTATTGTATGTGATTTTATATATATCGATACCAGCGTGTATAACCCGGCCTTGCCCGTTGCACGTATAAAATTTGATTCTGCGGAAAATGTGAAACACGTCTCCAATTAATTTTTATATAGATCCTTGAAAATGAATTTGAGTGATTGAAACAGAATCTTTGACCCCTATTTCTACCAAAAAGGAATACATTTTTGGAAAAGTGTGAAACACCCCTCAAATGAATTCGAACAAAGAGCTTTGAAATTCAGTTTGAGGCCGACCGGATGGTAAACAAAAAAGTTGCATACGAACGTTTTTCGTGATTTTTTCACTGTTTCATATATTTTTCCAAATGCCGAATATAATTTATTAACTATTTTTCCTTCTCAGTCGATAGTTTCATGGATAAATTTACCGATAGTTTTTCAAGGTTAGTTTTTTTTGCCAGCAAAGGACCTTGTAATCTGCTCAAAAATATTACCTCCAGCTACACGCGTTGTACCAAATCTCTAAGGCCTTAATTAAAGTTCAGTTAGTTCGCGGTGTCTTCAACCATTTTCTGATTGGCCGCTCCCATTTCGTTACCAACTTATAGTCCAGCTAAAATGAAGAAAAAAAAGTCAACTGGCCTGACAAACTTTTCAGCTCGTAGCCATAAACCATATTGGACTCGATGCAGCCTGGCGCGAAAGCAGCTGCGCTGATAGTCCAACAGGACGCAAATTGCGAACGCAGTGCATTCAGAACGCACTTAAGAAGATTAAAGACCCGTTTCGTTAGTTTCCACATGGTTTTCTTTACCAGTTTGTAGGGTATTCGCGCTCTGCGTTTACATGTGTGAGTGGGTGCTTCTTTCCAGGACATGTGCGAACGGCTTTAAAGCTAACGCGCAATTATTTTTTCTGCTTAAACGAAAAACTGTTTCAATGTTAACATAAAAAGGGAGACATTTCCCAATTAAAATGTTATATCATGCAATATCCATAAATTGATAATACATAAAACTCCTGTTGGAGATATTTACACAGAAACCCAGTTAAATGAATGCAGTTATTTGCCCCTTCAGTCGCCACGTAGTTGTCCAACTTTTCTTGCAAACAGCACCAATTTCCAATAAAATACCAGAGTGGGGAAACTAGCTGATACTTAGTGCTTGCGAAAAGGGGGAGGGGGCGGAATGGTAAGCGGGAATGTGTCAAATCAACAGCAGCAAATTCAATTGCAAATAGTGAAACACATTGTTCTCCTGTCTCGCAGTTTCGTTGACAATTTCTTTTTTTTTTTTAATACTATGTTTCGACAGACAGTTCGTCGAGAGCGAGGGGTAGGGGCAGAGGAGCTTTGGGATGCGCTTTGGGGATTTATTGAAAATGCTTCGATTTATGTTTAGTGCGATATTTGCATTTTGGCTGACAAACAAAACGCCGATGCGACAAATGCAACGGAAATATGCACTCAAAGTGTCGCAAAGGGGTGGCCGGATTAAGAAGGAATCCCAGCAATAAAATCCAGCGGGATGAGAACAGAAACCTTGAGCTATGAGTTGAATAACAAAACGAATATACAGTTTAGCTTGAACATGCTTCCGTTATGACGGATAGTTGAAAAAGATAAATATTAAACAATATCAGATAATGCATAATTAAATATAGTTGGGATTTATTAATAAATGTTTGGTTTATTCATGAGCAGGGCAAAGGCTTAGCGAAGACCCAAACCAGCGGCATGCCGCTCAGGTTTGGTGTCAAATACCGAAAAATATATAATCCTCATTTGGTTAATTTTTAATTATTTTTTTTTTCATTTAATTATTTAACGGAATAATAAAATTCTCACAATAATAGCTCTAACTTCAACTGGATATATAATAAATAATATTATCAGAATAATAAACTCTAGTTGACCAATAGTTAATAAGTTAATAATATTATTTGCAAAAGTAAGACTCAAAATTAATCTTTCTGTTGAGAAATGTTCAGAAATGAAATAATTAAATTAATTTTAAAAAATATTTAACTCCCTTTAGCTCCCTTTGAAGATTTCTGTTATCATTTGGCAGATATTACTTGTACCTACTTATTTTTTATATTTGTCGCACACAGAATATAAACTTTTTAATAAAACTATTTGCTTCATTAATAGTTGCTGCTGTCGTATCAATAACATTTGTTAAACCAACGCCGATAGTTTATAAATATATTTTATAATTAAAAAATTGTCATATATTTTATGAGCAATAGTGCTGATAACGAAAAAATAAAAATTATTATTAAATAATTTCTTATGATTCCCATTTGTTTCTAACTTATGCAATAAAATTTCTTCAATTAACCAAAAATGTTAAATTTAAAATATAACGTACCGAATTTATACCTTTATACCAATTCGCATTCGAGTCCCTTTTCTCTCTGCCCCCCTCTCTCTCTCACTGTCTCATCCAGTCTCAATTGTGCTCTCAGCTCTTATACGAATACATTTGCCGGCATTTGCTGCTGCTTTTGTTTGCTCCAGTTTCAGTTTCGGTTTCGTTGGTCTTGTCCTACCGCAAGTAAAAACTTGGTCAACATGTCGGGTCGAATAAATCGCACTCTCTTGCGCTCTCTTTCGGAGTTCGTATTCAGCGCTTGTGCTGTAGTCCTCTGTAGCTGAGTCCTAAATATGCTCTCTCGGTCTCCCTTCTGTACGTTTTTTTTTTGCTGTGTCAAAGCTATGTTGGGCCTCGTTTGTAGTTTCGCTTTAGGCCAGTCGAGTTTATGTCTTCATCGCATTTGAAATTTATTTGCATGCCGGTCAGGCCGGCAGCCAGCTCTATAAATTAAACATAAATCAGTTGCACGGCAAATCATTTGATTTCATTTCAGGGAGACCTTTTAACTAAACCAAACCCTCTGCCATATACCCCTTGGCCCTCTGGCCCAGAGCTCGCAATTACACAAAAGACGCGACTGTCACGTATTTCCATGCATGAACAACTTTGAATGCCCATCGCCCAAATTATTTCTAGCCATAAACAACAACAATGCGACAATTGCTTTTGAATGGGTTGGGAAATGGGGAAAGCTGAAAAAAAAAAACAAAATAGGAAAAATAACTGACACAAAAATTGATAAGCAAATAGCCATTTAATGGACTTGAACTGAATAGCAAAGTACTCGCAATGATTAGCCGCGAATGAGCTGCTGCCCCCACACGGGCCACCTTTGAAAATCGATAAGAAATTGAGCATTTTTATTCCCCTGGCAGGCACCTGGCTCCCACACAGCCCCGCATCCCTACACACACATTCACACACACACACACACACACTCACACACACATCGATAAATATATATTTTACGACACATTTTCCACTAAATTTACAAGTTTCCATGCGAAACTTTAAAAGAAATTCGCGAACGGTGCGTCGTTTCCTGACAAAAGCAGGGGGCGACAGGTTGGAGGGAACGCCAAAACAAAACGCACGTGTGGTCGTAAAAAATCGTAAAGGGTTGTCTAGTTCGATGGCAAGGTGAGGCCAAGTGCCCAGACGTACTGCCCTGGGGGTAAAGTAAGTTAAGTAAAGGCATGTTTACGTAAATAACGCTATGTTAAGCATTACTTAAAATGATATTGTCGTTTTCGTAAAAAGAATTCCGGAAAATAAACCTACGTATCCGTTATTATTTTGTATTGTTCTTGGGTAGAATTAAAGTTTAATTTACATGTTTAGATACTTGTTTAATTTGGTGCATTTATTAAACAGATAATAGATAATAGTTATTTATTAAGATTTTATTTATTCCGTTTTTAAATATATTTTTTTATACTTTTAATTTGGCATATTTCTTCAATCATTTGTATATATTTTTTATTTATCTGTACATCATAGATAAAAATTATATATTAACGTTTTATTTAATTATTTTTCTTAATATTTTTTATCTCCATTTTTAGTTTAGAATATTTAATGGACTCCTTTTATATATTTCTGTTATTTATCTGTACATCATAAAAATGATACATCAAACACATTTTATGAATATATGCTTACAATAATTTGTCTTGATATATTACGTTATTTTATTATTGTTTATTATAAAATAATTTAGTAAATAAAGATTATATTTTATTTTTGCATAAGAATAAGTTTGATAATTGGGAATATTTATTAAACATCTTTTATTTTTGTATTCGTCAGTAGATCAAAGATTAAAAATATAAATTAAAAATTTTGTTTTAATATTTTTTATTTTTATATTTTAACATATTTATTTGTTTTGGTAAATTTTAAGCATCCTGTATTTTGTATCGCAATCTCTACACAATTGATACAAATTATATATATCCTTTGCAGATCCCTATTGCCATTCGATTTAATACAGTTAATATAAATCCGCTTTATACATTAAGCTAAATACATGGATAAATCAGAAATATATTAATATATTGTATATATATCTAGATAATATACACACAACACATACACACAAACACACTTGTAAGTCATTCGCTGCTGGAATTGTTTCTATGATACAATAATTAAGTGAGTTTTCTAATGGATTTCGTGTGTGTGGCTAAAAAGATTTTATGTTTTTTTTTTTTTGGAGAAAATAGTATCTTTTAGAAGTTTATAATGTATTCAAGAAAGTTTATCAAGTGCAGACAGTACAAGTGTACTATCCAAATGATTCAGATGATTCGTAAATTTAGATATATATATATATATATATATATATATATATATATATATATATATATATATATATCGATATATACTTCATAAAAGAGAAAATCTATAATGCTCATGCTGATCTTCATTGCTATTTGATTTTAT